GGCAACACATTACAAGAAAGGAAAACCACAACCCAAAATCTCTCATAAAAATTGATGCAAAAATCCTCAACAAGGGGAGCAAAATATTAGCAAATATTAGCAACAAAATATTGTCAAATCAAACCCAATAATGTATAGAAAGAATTATACACCATGACTAAGTGGGATTTATTACAGGTATAAAAGGCTGATTCAATATTTGAAAATCAATTAATTAATCATAGTGAGAGAGTAAAGAAGTAAAAGCATATGATCCTATCAAAATATGTAAAATAATAAAAAACTTGACAGCTGTGCACAGTGGCTCACACTTGCAGTCCCAGAACTTTGGGAGGCCAAGGCAGGTGGATCACTTGAGGTCAGGAGTTTGTGACCAGCCTAGCCAACATTGTAAAACGCTGTCTCTACTAAAAATACAAAAATTAGCTAGGCATGATGGCAGGCACCTGTAATCCCAGCCACTTAGGAGGCTGAGGCAGGAAAATCACTTGAACCTGGGAGGTGGAGGTTGTAATGAGCTGAGATTGAGCCACTGCCCTCCAGCCTGGGTGACAGAACTAGGCTGTCTCAAAAAAAAAAAAAAAAAAAAAAACCTGAACAGATATGTCACCAAAGATGATGTATACTTGGCAGATAAGAATAGGAAAACATGTTCACTATCACATTTCATTAGGAAATTGCAAATTAAAATGACATACCCTAAACACTATTAAAATGCCACCTTCCAAAATACGCACCATGAACTCTTACTCATTGCTCATGGAGAGGCGAAATGGTGCGGCCACTTAGGAAGACAGTTTGGCAGTTTTTTACAAAACTAAACATACTGTTACCATACAATCCGGCTGTTGCATTCCTGGGACTTATCCAAAGAAGTTGAAAACTTATGTTCACATAAAAACTTACATAGAATGTTTGTAGCATATTTACTCATAATTGCCAAAACTTAGAAGCAACTAAGATGTCCATCAGTAGGTTAATGAATAAACTGTGGTACATCCAAACAATGGAACATAATTCAGCACTAAAAAGAAGTAAGCTATCAAGCCATGAAAAGACATGGAGGAACCTTATTACTAAGTGAAAAAAAGCCAATCTGAAAAGGCTTACATACTGCATAATTCCAACTATGTAACACTCTGGAAATGACAAAAACTAAACCATGGAGATACCAAAAGAATCAGTAGTTGGCAGGGTTGAGGGGAGGGAAGGCTTAATAAATAGAACATAGATGATTTTTAGGGCAGTGAAACTATAATGGCAGATACATGTTATTACACACTTATCAAAATTGATAGGAGTATAATACCAAGCGTGAAGCCTGATGTTAGCTATGAACTTACTGATGAGTGATAGTGATATGTCAATGTAAGCTCATAGATTCTAACAAATATATCACTCTGGTAAGGGGTTTTGTTAGTGCAGGAGGTTGTATATAAGAAATCGCTGTACCTTCTGCTCAGTTTTGCTGTGAATCTAAAATTACTCTACAAAATAAAGCCTTTTACAAAAGGATATGCAGGGTAAAGAAAACTGTTAAACATTATAGAGTGAAATGAAAAAGAACTAAGGAAAATGGAGTAATATACTATGTTCTTAGATTGAAACACTCAATACTGTGAAATTGTTAATTTTCCACAAACTAATTTACAGTTCCAATGCACCCCTAATCAAAACTTCAGCATATTACTGGTTATCTTTCCACTTTGGACTTGACCAGATGATGCTAATATTTATGTGGAAATACAAAGATCCAAGAATAAGAAAGACACTCTTGTATAACAGAAGAACAAGCAAATGCAACAAAAACAGAGATGAATAGATGGGACTTAAACTAAAAAGCTTCTGCAGAGCAAAAGAAATAATTAGCAGAGTTAACAGACAATCCACAGAATGGAAGAAAATCATCACAATCTATACATCTGACAAATAATTAATATCCAGAATCTACAAAGAACTCAAACAAATCAGCAAGGAAAACCAGACAATCTCATAAAAAAGTGGGCTAAGGACATAAATAGACAATTCTCAAAAGAAGATATACAAATGGCCAACAAGCATATGGAAAAATGCTCAACATCACTAATTATCAGGGAAATGCAAATCAAAACCACAATGTGATACTCCCTCATTCCTGCAAGGATGGCCATAATTTAAAAAATAATAGATGTTGGTGTGGATGTGGTGAAAAGGGAACACTTATACACTGTTTGTGGGAATGTAAACCAGTACCACTATGGAAAACAGTGTGGAGATAAATTAAGAAGCTAAAAGTAGATCTGTTTGGTCTAGCAATCCCACTACTCGGTAGCTACCCAGAGGAAAATAAGTCATTATATGAAAAAGATACTTGCACACGTTTACAGCAGCACAATTGGCAATTTCAAAAATATGGAACCAACACAAATGCTGATCAATCAAGGAGTGGAAAAAGAAAATGTGGTGTATATACACAGCCATAAAAAGGAACAAAATTATGGCATTCACAGCAACCTGGAAGGAATTGGAGACTATTACTTTATTTATTTATTTAGAGACAGAGTCTCACTCTGTAACCCAAGCTGAAATGCATGCAGTGGTGTGATCTCAGCTCACCGCAACCTTTGCCTCCAGAGCTCAAGCAATTCTTGCCTCAGCCTCCCAAGTAGCTGGGAGGCATATGCCACCATGCCTAGCTAATTTTTTTGTATTTTTGTAGAGACGGGGTTTCACCATGTTGTCCTGGGTGGTCTTCAACTCCTGAGCTCAGGCGATCCACCCACCTTGGCCTCCCAAAGTGCTTGGATTACAGGCATGAGCCACCGCACCCAGCCTGGAGACTATTATTCTAAGTGAAGTAACTCACTGCACTTACTGGAATGTAAAAACAAACTTCCTATGTTCTCACTCATATATGGGGGCTATGCTATGAGGTCGTAAAGGCATAAGAATATTACATTGGACTTTGGGGACTTGGGGGAAAGTGTGTGGATGGAGAGGGATAAAAGACTACACTTTAGGTATAGCGTATACTACTCTGGTGATGGGTGCGCCAAAATCTCAGAAATCAACACTAAAGAACTTATTCATGTAACTAAACACCACTGGTTTTTGTTCCCCCAAAAACCGGTTGAAATAAAAAAATAAAAAAATTAAAGAAGAACAAAATGAAACACCATCAGACATCAAGACTAATTACAGACAAACACACTAATGGAACTGAATAGATAGTCCAGAAACAGATTTAGATAAATGAATGTATTATTTATGGCAAGGGTGGCACTACAGAGCAATAGGAAAAAGGCCAGTCTTTTCAACAAGTGAAGAGCTGCATGGAAAAAATGTAATTTTAAATTTGACATTTCCTTAGACCACATGCACACATCAGTTGCACGTGGCTTGTACATCTAAATGTGAAAGGCGTAATAAAGCTTCCAGATGATTATATAGGAGAATATCTTCATAATATTGGACTGTGAAAAGAGTTTTCACAAAGCAAATCCACAAATCAAACTATATTAAAATTAAGAACTTGTGTTCAGCAAAAGGCAGCATTAAGATAACGAGAAGGTGGCCGGGCACGGTGGCTCACACCTGTAATCCCAGCATTTTGGGAGGCTGAGGTGGGTGGATCACAAGGTCAGGAGTTTGAGACCAGCCTGGCTAACATGGTGAAACCCTGTCTCTACTAAAAATACAAAAAATTAGCTGGGTGTTGTGGTGGGTGCCTGTAATCCCAGCTACTCAGGAGGCCGAGGCAGAAGAATTGCTTGAACCCAGGAGGCAGAGGTTGCAGTGAGCCAAGATCGTGCCACTGCACCCCAGCCTGGGCAACAGAGCGAGAGAGTCTCTCAAAAAAAAAAAAAAAAAAAAAAAAAAAAAAAAAAAAAAAAAAAAAAAAAAAAAGAAAGAAAGAAAGAATGAAAAGGCAAACTAGAAACTGACTGCCAATATGTCATACACAATTTTCAAGGGATTTGTGTCTAGAATATATAAAGAACTCATACAAATCACTAAGAAATACCCAACAGAGAAATTGCAAGTGATATGAACAAGTACACTAGAAGATTTCCAAATAGCCTATAAACATGAGTAACTATAAACATGATCAACTTCATTAGTCATCAGAAAAATATAAATTCAAACCATGATGCAATAATATGTATCACATACCAAAATACATTTCTTTAAAATAACAATATAAAATGTTGCTGGGAATCTGGTGCAATGGAACACTCAAACTCTGTTAATGGGATGTAAACTGGTATAATCATTCTGGAAAACAATTTCTAATTTTCTTTCTAGGCATCTTCCCAACAGAAATGTGTGCACATGTGCACCTACATTTATACACAAGATTGTTCATAGCACCATTACTTATAATAGTGCCTAACTGGAAACAACCCAACTGTTCATCGAATTGAACAAGTAAACTTCAATGTATTCTTGTAATGGAATACTGTAAAGCAGTCAAAGCAAATGAACCAGCCTCATGCTATGACATGGATGAATCTCAGAAAAGAAATGTTGAAGAAAAGAAGCCAGATAAAAGAATACATATTTGCTTTAATATAAATATATATGACTTATTATATGTGTGTGTGTGTGTGTGTGTGTGTGTGTGTGTGTGTGTATATGTCATATATATGTCAAACTAAACTGCAGTGTTATAAGTGAGTATAGTTGTTACCTTTTTTGGGAGTAAAGAGGTGGTAACTGAGTGGAGGACAAGCGCTTCAAGGATGATGGGGAAATGATCTATTTCATCACCAGATCTTTCCTTTGTAAGAATTTGTTGAACTGTACATTAATACTCTGTGAACTTTTCTGTTATGTAGATTTTAAAAATTAAACAAACATCAATACTATCATAGGAGCCATTGTTATCAGTGAAATGCACAGGTAAAATCATGACTTAAGCAAAGAAAAATATAACCTTCTGTGAGAAGAAACATTTACAGATTTGATTTTCCAGGGAGGTTTTAAAAATAAGTAAATTATGGTAAAAGCAAGCAACTTACAGGAGAAGATTGGCACATAATAAAAAGGAAAATAACAGCTTGTCCTTCTCAAATAGTGATCGGCATACATTACAATATAAGTTGTATGTGAAGTGGTCATTTAAATATCGTAGACGTTTTTCCAAAATTTTGGATTTGTTACTAAAAAGGTTAAAAAGAAAGACAATGTATCATCAAAACTAGGAAAATACAAGCAATGTGAATTCACATATACACTTTTTATTTTATCAAATTATCATTATTAAAAACACACACACAAGGGCATGTAAGACTGGTGAAATCTGAATAAGCTGTATGGGTTTAGCAGCGTCAGTTTCTTGGTTGTGACACTGTACTATAGGCAAGATGCTACCACTGGAGAAAGAGGATGAAGGGTACATGAAACCTCTCTGCACATATTTTTCTGTGTGCAACTTCTTGTGAATCTGTATTTCAAAATAAAAAGTTTCAAAATGTAGGGTATAATTCTCTGAGAAAGTGAAATATGGTTTATACCATCTCTTTATTTTCCAAATCCTAAATTTTGTATTCTGCCCCAAAGTGACTATAAACAATTAGTCAATTTTTTAAAAACATGCCTATTAAGTCTCTATTAGTGTAAGGCTCTATGCTAGGGAGGAAAATGTAAGAGACAAAGAATTATGAGATGTTTGCCTGCCCCAAAGAAGTTCTAGGATTACAGGTGGGAGGCACTGTGCCTGGCCTTTTCATGCATTTTAAAAATATCTTTATAAATAAAGATCTACATATTTTAAAAATGCATGAAAAGGCCAGGCACAGTGCCTCCCACCTGTAATCCTAGAACTTTGGGAGGCCAAAATGGGTGGATCATTTGAGGTCAGAAGTTTGAGACCAGCCTGGCCAATATGGTGAAACCCCATGTCTACTAAAATACAAAAATTAGCTGGGCGTGGTAGTACATGCCTGTAATCCCAGCTACGAGGGAGGCTGAGGCAAGAGAATTGCTTGAACCTGGGAGGCAGAGGTTGCAGTGAGCCGAGATGGCACCATTGCACTCCAGTCTGGGCAATGGAGTGAGACTCTGTCTCAAAANAAAAAAAAAAAAAAAAAAAAAGAATAAAGAAAAATGCATGAAAAGTGGACAATTGTACTTACTGGGTAGAGTTATAACTAATATTGTTTACACTCTCATATTCCAAAAAAATGTTTACAATAAGCATATATTGCTTTCAATTTTTTCCAGTTCAATTTTAAAATATAATACCTATGGGAATATAAAATGATGTAGCCATTCTAAGAAACAGTTTGGCACTTTTTTTTTTTTTGAGACAGAGCCTTGCCCTGTCACCCAGGCTGGAGTGCAGTGGCATGATCACAGCTCACTGCAACCTCTATCTCCTAGGCTCAAGGAATCTTCCCATCTCAGCCTCCCAAGCAGTTTGGACTACAGGTCCATGGCACAAGCCCAGCTAGGTTTTTGTATTTTTTGTAGAGATGGTGTTTCACCATGTTGCCCAAGCTGTCACTTTCTTAAAAAAAAAAGAAAAACAAAGCAAAACAAAAAAACTAAAGAGCTTCTGTAGAGCAAAAACAAACTATCAACAGAGTAAACAGCCTACACAATGGGAGAAAATATTTTCACACTGTGCATCTGAAAAGGATCTAATTTCCAAAATATGTAAGGAACTTAACAAGCATAAAACAACCCCATTAAAAAGCGGGCAAAGGCCATAGACACGTCAAAAGAAGACATACGCGGGGCTAACAAGCATATGAAAAAATGCTCAATATCATTAATCATTAGAGAAATGCAAATCAAAACCACAGTAATTTACCATCTCACACCAGTCAGAATGGCTATAGTTAAAAAGTCAAAAAAATAACAGATGCTGGCAAAGTTGTGGAGCAAAGGCAACACTTACACACTGCTGGTGGAAATGTAAATTAGTTCACTGTGGAAGGCAGTTTGGAGACTTCTCAAAGAACTTAAAACAGAACTACCTACCATTTTACCCAGCAATCCATTACTGGGTATATACCCAAAGGAACATAAATTGTTCTACCATAAAAACATGCATGCGTCTGTTAATCGCAGCACTATTCACAATAGCAAAGACATGGAATCAACCTAGATGCCCGTCAATCATAGACTAGCTAAAGTTAATGTAGCACAGATGCGCCATGGAATACAAGACAGCCACCAAAAAGAATGAACTCATGTCCTTTGTAGCAGCATGGATGGAGCTGGAGACCATTATCCTAAGCAAACTAATAATGCAGAACAGAAAACCAAATACCCCATGTTCTCATAACATTGAGTACACAAGGTCACAGGAAGGGAACAAAAGGTGGAGAGTGGGAGGATGGTGAGGTTTAAAAAACTACCTACAGGGCTGGGTGCGGTGGCTCATGCCTGTAATCCCAGCACTTTGGGAGGCCGAGGCAGGTGGATCGTGAGGTCAAGAATTCAAGACCATCCTAGCCAACATAGTGAAACTCCGTCTCTACTAAAGTACACACACAAAAAAAATTAGCTGGGTGTGGTGGCACACGCCTGTAGTCCCAGCTACTCGGGAGGCTGAGGCAGGAGAATTGCTTGAACACCGGAGGCAGATGTTGCAGTGAGCCGAGATTGCGCCACTGCACTCCAGCCTGGTGCCTGGTGATAGACCAAGACTCTGTCTCAAAACAAAACAAAACAACTACCTACAGGTACTATGCTTATTACCTGGGTGACAAAATCATCTGTATACTAATCCTCTGTGACATGTAATTTACCTATATAACAAACCTGCACATGTACCCCGGAACCTAACAGTTTAAAAAGAGAGTCCTCAGTAAACCATGTGTCTTGTTTGCTAAAAAAAAAAAAAAAAAAAAGAAGAAGAAGAATATCTGAACAAACCACTACTATATAATCCAGCAATTGCATTCCTGTGTATTTATCTCAAAGAAATAAAAATTTCTGTTCACAAATACATGTACATGAATGTTTATAGTAGTTTTATTCATTGTAAACCCAAACTGGAAATAATTCAGAGGTCCTTCATGCTATGAAATATTTCTCAGCCTTCAAAAACAGCCAAATATTTAAACACACAGCAACTTGAATCAATCTCTGGAGAATTACACTCAGTAAAAAAAGCCAATCTCAAAAAGTTACATGCCATATGCTTCCATTTATACGAAATTTTTAAACTAACGAAAGTATAGAAATGGAGAACAGGTTAGGGGTTGCCAAGGGTTACGGAAGGGGTAAGGATGGGAGGGAAGTGGGTATAGCTATTAAAGGACAACACAGGGATCCTTGTGGTGGTGGAAATGTTCCATATCTTGACTGTATTAATGTCATTATCATGGTTGTGATAATTGTTTTATAGGTTTTCAACATGTCACCATTGGGGCAACTGGGTAAAAGGTACATAAGATCTTTACTATTTCTCATAATCACATGTGAATCTACACTTAAAATTAAAAATTTGATTTTTAAAAAGTAATACATAGGACCATGGGAATGGGATGGAAGGGTTGGGGGTAGTGACCCGTCTCTAAGTAGATCTTTTTGTACAGGGTTGAATTTTGGAGTCACTAATGGTTTATGTACTCAAACATATAATACAATTAAACTCAACAAGGATGAAGAAAAACCCTAAAATGAAACATAAAAGTAAACAAATGAGCCTAACTGTATTTCATGTGAATAACATCACATGTTGAAGAGGGGAAAAAGTAACCCAAGTAACTTTTGAATGCAGCATTTTATGCCCAATTTTTTTAAAACTAAGTTTGTGTGTGAACATATGCAATCAATTCTCTTGGGTATATACCCGGGAGTGGACATGCTGGGTCATATGGCAATCTAGGTTTAGTATTTTGAAGAACTTCCAAAGTGGCCATATTATTTTAAAATCCCACCAGCAGTGTAGGAGGGCTCCAATTATTTCACATCCTCACCAAAACTTGAGATTGACGTTTTTATGTCAATTCTTTAACTTGAATTTCCTTCATCACATGGGTTGTATAAATTCAAATTCCAAATTCCAACTGAGAAGGAATCTGGAATTTCAATCACTCAGAAGAGATTATTCTACCAATAGCCAATGTCGAAATTTCTTATAGCACACACAATTGGCTCAAGTCATAAATTTTTTTAAAACAGGTACAACAGTTACTAAATACCAGACATTGTTATAAACACTTTACGAATATTATCTCATTTAATTGTCATAAAAACCCTAAAAGGTCAGTAATATTATCCCAATTTTATAGATAAGAAAAATTGAGGCAATTACCTCACATTAAAGGACTTGCCTATAGACATGCAGCTACTATGTGGCAGAAAGGATATGTAATCCCCAACTCCAGTTTGACTCTGAAATTTGCATACATTCATTAATTGATTAAAGTGAGAATTTCTAGAAAACCATTAGAAATGTGGGGCTAGAGGCCAGGCTCAGGGACTGACGCCTGTAATCCAAGCACTTCACGAGGCCGAGGCAGGTGGATCACGAGGTCAGGAGTTCAAGACCAACCTGACCAACATGGTGAAATTCTGTCTCTAATAAGAATACAAAAATTAGCTGGGTGTGGTGCTGCATGCCTATACTCAGGAGGCTGAGGCAGGAGAATTGCTTGAACCTGGGAAGCGGAAGCTGCAACGAGCTGATAGCACCATTGCACTCCAGCCCGGGCAACAGAGAGTAACTCCATCTCAAAAAAAAAAAAAAAAGACAAGACAAGAAAAAAAACAGTGGGGCCAGGTGTAGTGGCTCATTCCTGTAATCTCAGCACTAAGGGAGGATAAGTCGGGCAGATTTCTTGAGTCCAGGAGTTCAAGACCAGCCTGGGCAACTTGGTGAAACCCAATCTCTACAAAAAAATAATACAAAAATTAGCCAAGCACAGTGGTGCACACCTGAAGTCCTTGCTATTCTGAAGGCTGAGGTGGTTGGATCACCTGAGCCCAGGAGGTTGAGGCTGCAGTGAGCTGTGATTGTGCCACTGCACTCTAGCCTGGGTGACAGAGTTAGACCTTGTTTCAAAAAAACAATCAAATAGAACAAAGAAAAAAGAAACTTGGGACTGAAGCCTTTTAGAGACCTCAAGCCTGGAGAAAGATACACTAGAGTTGCTCAAAAATAAGTCATGTGCCTGCCTCTATGAAATAATTAAAAGAGAGAAGAAAAAAATACTAAAAGTTAATCCCTCTATGCCTAAATCTTAAGTAGGAATGAAACAACTACTTAAAATAGAAAGGAGGTTTTGATTATCTTTCAAGTATCTTTTTTTCTTTCACTTTTTCTTTTTTCTTTCTTTTTTTTTTTTTTTNTTGCTCTGTTGCCCAGGCTGGAGTGCAGTGGTGCCATCTCGGCTCAACCTCCACCTACTGAGTTCAAGTGATTTTCCTGCCTCAGTCTCCCCAGTAGCTGGGATTACAGGCGCCCACCACCATGCCCGGCTGATTTTTGTACTTTTAGGAGACACAGGATCTCATCATGTTGGCCACGCTCATCTTGAACACATGACCTCAAGTGATCTGGCCCCCTTGGCCTTCCAAAGTGCTGAGATTACAGGCGTGAGCCACCGCGCCCAGCCACTTTTCCACATTTTTAATGTTCTGTAATGAATATACGTAAGCAAAAAAAAAAAGTCACATTTTTTAAATGGAAAGGACTGTGAAAATCCAACCTCAGAAAGATGAATAAAATGAGAGAAGTTTACCTGTCATGAATTGAGTTGATATAAAGGTTCACAAACCAGATGAGAGAGTACTGATACATGGGATCAATATTAGCCAGGTCTGCAATGCTGAAGAACAGTACTGATGAGTGTTTGGCAATGGGTCTATAACCTTCTCGAGACTCTGCTATTTTGAGTTCTGTTTTTTCTGCAATCTAGGAGAACAGAAAAACCAAGATTAAGAAATAGGAAGAGTATTTTAATTATGTACTTTTCATATAATGAAGTTTATATATTTTTTAAAAATCCCAATGTAGTGATAATGTTATATGAATTTAAGTATGGTTTACAAGAGAGGGCTTTATCATACTAAAAGTCAGAAATAAAGAAAACAAAAGGGGATGAAGGAAAGAACTAGGGATGGAAGAAAGGGGAAGGAGAGAGAGGAACAAGAGAAGAAAAAGGAAAAAACAAGTTTAAACTTTAGATTAATAGTATCATCCGCTACTGACCATCTCTTTCTTATTTGAGACATGCCAAATAAGAAAACTCTGCGTATTCTTTGCCTGACTCTGACCTGTGTCTATTGCAGTTATTCACCCTCTTTTATTTTAACAGGTCAGAGTTAAAGAGGGAGAGAGGACTGGAAAGCAAGTATACTTGTGTGTATATTTAAGGTGTTCACTCATGTCCTGGAACCCAGCAGTCTGGCAAAGTAGGTATTCAAAACTATTTATTGATGAGTGGTTTTATATACAAGGATGCTTTTTTTTCAACTAGCTTCTCACATGTTTAGCTTTCTAATTTATAGGGCTGTAGATATTCAACCCCCAAATAAAAATGCTCTCCAAGATAATAGCTCTTCAACTCAGTCTGATAGGTTGATATTCTATAGAAAAAATGTTTCAAGCACTATTCCAACTCCCTCTTCCTTCTTTGGTAATGGTATCCACAGACTCTGATGAATGGTATGCCTATGCAGTCATGTTTATATCAAATCCTGCTTGTTGCTAATTTAATCAAGAGGCAGGGATACAGCCAGATCCAAGATAAGATAATCAAAAATTTCCCTGGAGAATTGAAACTTCAGGAGCCTCAGAAACTGAAGTTAGATGGCATTGGCATTAGGAGTAAAAAGTAGTGGGACTTTTTCCACATGTTGGTTTTAATGCTATGTGAGTATATGAAGGAAGAGATACACAAGTCTTAAAAGAAACTGGTCTTCGGGTGGAGTAGAGAGAAGCACAGAATGACACACAGCCCCAGAGGTAGGGAAAGAGACACAGAGCATAGAAACTTAATGCCTTCCATTTATCCTTGAGGTCTGGATGTATGTCTTATTATTGGGAAAATAAATGATTTCCTTGTATCTTTTTCATTTTATCTAATTCGAGTGAGTTCCTGTTCCTTGCAAACAAACTTTCCCCCAAATTATACTGTATAACCACAGATGAACCAAAGGTAAGTTTGGAATCTCAGTCCTGACTATAAATAAGTAAAACAAAGTTAGCAACGACAGTGATTAATGACACTTTACGTAAGAAAGCATTATTTTAGTATTCTCATTTAAACCTTTTACTATTTAAACTTTGATTTTCATTTCAAATGCCATTTTGCAACAGCAAGCAGAAAAAAACAACAAATATTATAATATTTATTTATTGGAGACAGAGTCTCACTCTGTCACCCAGGCTGGAGTGCAGTGGCATAATCTCAGTTTACTGCAACCTCCACCTCTTGGGTTCAAGTGATTCTCCTGCCTCAGCCTCCTGAGTAGCTGAGATTACAGGCGTCTGCCACCGCTTCTGGTTAATTTTTGCATTTTAGTAGAGACGGGGTTTCACCATGTTGGCTAGGCTGGTCTCAAACTCTTGACTTCAGGTGACCTACCTGCTCCGGCCTCTCAAAGTGCTGGGATTACAGGCGTGAGCCACAGCACCGGGCTATAATTTTTAAACATTAATTAATAACTTAATTCATATTTAATGGCTTGATCTATGTATATTTATAAACAGTGTTTGCTAAACCTGAATCCTTAGCAAGAAATGCTAGGCTTAAGAAATATAAATACATTTTAAAAATCATTTACCATTAATGGCCTAAAGTAAAAAAAAAGATATTTTCTAAGAAATAAAGACTGAGTACATGCTAAGAGGTTAAAAGAAGACAACTTCTTACTTGTAAAACTTTTCTGGTCTGTGATACTTATATACGTAATACTTTCCAAAAATAAAAAAGACTAAGCTTCAGTCAGGAAACCATTAGAGTGGCAGTAGGGGTAAACTCTGAAATCTCTAGAATAAACTCTTAAAGTTTTGTGTTTGTTTAATCTTGTGGATTTAGGGAAAAGGGAAAAGCAGCTTTTGATTATGTTGGAAAGCCTTCCCTGAAGATGTTTTTTCTTACATTAGGTGAGTGGATAATCGTAGAATAGAAGTCAGGGTAGATATAGAGTATGTTTTAGCTGAAACTATATAATGAATTTAAAACTCTGTTTGCGATGATCAATGGGATTCAGTCAGACAGGTATTATGATTTATTACATTTGTCTCATTGGAAGATAGAGTACTTGAACCAATACATCATTGTATCTCCCTTTTTCTTCAAGTCTTAATAGGAAATAAGCCAACAAGTGCTTCCTATCCTCTCTCCCCTTTGAAAACTAGTTTGGTGAGGAAACAAGTAGTAGCTTGTTCTGCTCTGATGGACAGGTGTTGGGTAAGGAGGCACTACAGAATATCTCAGCCATGGTCCCAGACTGGGGGCTGCCAAAGAATATTACTCTAAGACCTTACTCCTTTGGCTCTCCCAAGATGAAAATCATAAAACACCAAATAGTACAAGTAACAAGAGTGAGGACCATCACATTCATGCAAAATAAATCTATCCAAAGGGGAAGGGTGCCTAGACCTTTAGAAAGTCCTCTGTCCCAGCACAAGGGTGTATTGTGGGGTGGGAGCAGTGCAGAGATGCTGAGTGATTAGTGCAATCTCTGTTCAGGTTTCTTTTTATTTTTTAATTACCCTAAAGTGAAGGAGCACTTAACTCATTGGTTGGGCCAAGGAAAACCAAAAGGTCTGAAGATCAGTAACGTTAGCTTACAGAAGTCATTCTGTAATACCATATAATTGTGTAAACTTGAGCCTCAGCCGACCTTTCTGGGACCTATTTTTCTCAACTATAAAGTACAGAAAATAAGTGCTTGCTAAGGCCTTTTCTGCTTATAATATTGTATTATTCTATAAAAAGAATATCATTTGGGGCTGGGCACGGTAACTCATGCCTGTAATCCCTGCACTTTGGGATGCCAAGGTGGGTGCTGAGGTCAGGAGCTCAAGACCAACCTGGCCAACATGATGAAACCCCATCTCTACTAAAAATACAAAAAATTAGCCAGGCATGGTGGTAGGCGCCTGTAATACCAGCTACTCGGGAGGCCTGAGGCAGGAGAATCACTTGAACCCAGGAAGCAGAGGTTGCAGTGAGCTGAGATCACACCACTGCACTCCAGCCTGGGCGAGAGAGTGAAGCTTTGTCTCAGCACTTTGGGATGCTGAGGTGGGCAGATCAGAGGTCAGGAAATCAAGACCATCCTGGCTAACAGGGTAAAACTCCGTCTCTACAAAAAAAAAAAAAAAAAAAAAAAATTAGCCAAGCATGGTGGCGCATGCTTGTAGTCCCAGCTACTGGGGAGGCTGAGGCAGGGGAATCACTTGAACTGGGAGGCAGAAGTTGCGGTGAGCCGAGATCGCACCACTGCACGCCGGCCTGGAGGTAGAGCAAGACTTCATCTCAAAAATCATCATTATCATCATCATCATCATCATTCAGCTGAGTTAGGTGAACTTGCAATCAATGCATTATTGGCTATAGACTACTTGCCTCTCTTCTTCTACCTGCCACCCTCAACTCTCATACCTGCCTTCCTGACAAATGACATGATAATGTTGGAATTAATGTCTAGGAATCTCTATTTACTCCTAGAACCCCTTATTGTTCAATCAACCAGCAACTAACTGCATCAAGAACTCCAATAAGGAACAGAGATAAGACAAGCTCTCAAATTCAAGTTTTCAAAGAAGAGTCAATTAAAACTTGAATGAACCCAAGTAGCCTACCTTACCTACCCAATAATACCTATCTAATACTCCTAATACCTTACTTATCCAATAATAATAAATATATTTTAAAGCATTCATCCTAAATATATTTCTTCTGCACATAGATACCTTATAGATCAGACCAGGTTTTAAATAATGGTAAGATATTCTCTTATGAGTTTAAATTTATGTTTGGGTATTTTATCATTTTCTTTTTCCTTTCCAGCAAGCCTACTCCAGCATCTTCCTTGGGGACTGGAAGCAAATCAGAATCTTAAGAATCAAAAGATTTCTAGGATTCTTTTTTCACCTGCTGTTTCTTTGTTATCTCATTGGACATCATTTTGGCAGAGTCTAAGACTTTAATTGCACTTTCATCTTCTAAAATGTTTCCTTCTGATGATGATAATGTTTCCAAAATTTTTGTCTCTATCTCTTTCAGCTGTTTCTTGTTCGCTGCAGACTGAAGAATAAGGGCATTTCGTTCCTCTTCTAATTCTGGTCTAAAAGGATAGAAACATTTAGTCAAAATTTATAGTCTTACCTAAATTTATATTTGAGTACTACATATTACAAATTTGTAAACATCTAATACACACTAAGGTGATTAATTGCTTTAATTTAAAGGAAAAATACTTTCACACACATAACTATTTGAGAAGTTCAAGCAAAAAAAAGCATTAATTGTATACATGTGAAATGTGGCAATAACATGTGCTACAAAGTAAGTCTAAGAATACATTAGATTGATCCATATGGCATAGCTGCTATGTGAGAGTAAGAACTGGAGAAGACACTCAAAGTATGGACTTCTTATCTATTTCTTGATTTTGTCACCATGAAGTCTCATTTTCATCATATTTTCTATAGTAGCAAACAGTGAGAGGATGACTGGTCATAAAACTGGCTCTTTAAGTGAAAGGCTAAATTGGCACTGACGTCAAAACACTTAATGTCAAACAAAAATGGGATGAAACTTCAAAATAACACAGTCTACCATGGAATAGCATATGTTATGACATGGTTCTGTACTAGACACTCTACAAGTGGGATTTAAATATTGGAAGAAACACCTCATGGTTACATATTTTCACTTTTAATTTGATTTCATTTACTAGACCACTTGATAATGTTACACTGAGCTTCAAGTGAAATCAGATTTCCTTCCAGAAGCAATTCTTCACTAGTAGCCCTTCCAGGTATCATAATGTTTTTCCTCATTAAAAAAAAGAATACATACAGTTTCAGATTTTACATTTAAGTCTTTAATCCATCTTATAGGCACGGGCAAAGATTTCATGACAAAAACATCAAAAGCAATTGCAACAAAAGCACAAATTGATAAATGGGATCTAATTAAACTAATGAGTTTCTACACAGCAAAAGAAACTATCAGAATGTACAGATAACCTACAGAATGGGAGAAAATTTTTGCAATCTATCCATCTGACAAAGGCCTATATACAGAATATACAAAGAACTTAAACAAACTTACATGAAAGAAACAACCCCATTAAAAAGTGGGCAAAGGACACTTCTCAAAAGAAGATATCTATGCAGCCAACAAACATATGAAAACAAGCTCAACATCACTGATCATTACAGAAATGTAATTCAAAACCACAATGAGATACCATCTTATGCCAGTCAGAATGGCGATTATTAAAAAGTCAAGAAACAACAGATGCTGGTGAGGCTGCAGAGAAATAGAAATGGTTTTACATGGTTGGTGGGATTATAAATTATTTCAACCATTGTGGAAGACTGTAGTGATTCCTCAAAGACCTAGAACCAGACATACCATATGACACAGCAATCTCATTATCAGGTATATACCAAAGGAATATAAATCACTCTATTATAAAGGTACATGTACATGCATGTTCACTGCAGCGCTGTTCACAATAGCAAAGACATGGAATCAACCTAAGTGCCCATCAATTATAGACTGGATAAAGAAAATGTGGTATATATATACCATGAAATACATCATAGCCATAAAATGGAACAAGGTCGGCTGGATGTGGTGGCTCACGCCTGTAATCCCAGCACTTTGGGAGGCTGAGGTGGGCAGATCACCTGAGGTTGGGAGTTCAAGACCAGCCTGACCAACATGGAGAAACCCCATCTCTGCTAAAAATACAAAAAATTAGCTGGGCATGGTGGTGCATGCCTGTAATCCCAGCTATTTGGGAGGCTGAGGCAGGAGAATCACTTGAACCTGGGAGGCTGAGGTTGCAGTGAGCTGAGATGGCAACATTGCACTCCAGCCTGGGCAACAAGAGCAAAACTCCATCTCAAAAACAAAAAACAAACAAAACAAAACAAAACAAAAACAAGATCATGTCCTTTGCAGAGAAATGGAAGCCATTACTGTCAGCAAGCTAACACAAAAACAGAAAACCAAACACTGCATGTTCTTACTTGTAAGTGGGAGCTGAAAATGTGAACACACAGACACAGGGTAGGGAACGACACGCACTGGGGCTTGTCAGGGGGAATGGGGGAAGGAGAGCATCAGGACAAATGGTTAATGCATGCTGGGCTTAATACCTAGGTGATGGGTTTATTTGTGGTTTGCTGCACCTTAGCACACGTTTACCTATGTAACAAACCTGCACCTTCTGCACATGTACACTGAAACTTAAAAATCGAACATATGTAAAGAAAACAATAAAAATTACCCATAATCTTACCACCACCGAGATAATTACTTTAACATTGCGGTGTATTCCTTCCCAATCTTTTTTTACTCTTTTTATGTATGTAGATAAACATCCATCTTTTTTAAACAAAATATTACCTATTCTGCATATAGTTTTATATGCTACTTTTTCCTTCTTTTGCTAAGCATTTTATTATTAATGTCCTGTATATACATAAAAATGAATGTATTTCTGTTTATGTTCATAGCATGGATTCCTAGAGGTGAAATTTCTGGCTCATTCAGATACAAGTCAGAAGTCATGGTGTCAGAGGCACTTGAACCAGAGCAACTCCATCTTGAGTAGGGGCTGGGAAAAATGAGATTAAAACCTACTGGACTGCATTCCCAAATGGCTGGGCATTCTAAGTCACAGGATGAGATAGGATGTCAGTATAAGATACAGGTCATAAAGATCTTGCTGATAAAACAGGTTACGGTAAAGAAGTTGGCTAAATCCTACCAAAACCAAGATGGTCACAAAAGTGACCTCTGGTTGTCCTCACTGTTATACCCCACCAGTGCCGTGACAGTTAACAAATGTCATCACAATGTCAAAAATTTACACTATATGGTCTAAAATGAGGAGGCATAAATAATCCACCCCTTGTTTGGCATACAATCAAGAAATAACCATCAAAATGGACAACCAGCAGCCCTTGGGGCTGCTCTGTCTATGGAGTAGCCATTTTTTTATTCCTTTACTTTCTTAATAAATTTGTTTTCACTTTACTCCATGGACTCACTCTGAATTATTTCTTGCACAAGATCCAAAAACCCTTTCTTGGGTTCTGGATCAGAATCCCTTTCCTGTAACAATGGCATGTTAACCTGAACCCAACTGCCTATACTAAAACCCCAATATATCATGGTTGGCTTATAACTTACTTGTTACAGATGGCTATTTTAGAGGATTGTGTGATTATTATAGTAACAAAATATAAATTTGACAAAGTTTTAAAATATTCACAAAACAAAAATATTAATGGCCTACAAATATTCCTCTTTAAATCATCTAGAAGCATCTAAGAAAATACATACCTCTCCTTTGCAACAACAATACCTAGTAATTGATCTTCAAGTCCTTCTGGAGTGATCATGAAATTCAGCAAAGACACTTTTGTAGCCACCTCTGGCATATAGTGTGGATTTCTCAGTTTTGTGGTGATGTAAAATTTGAAATCAAAGGAATACTCAATAATGACCTCACCAAGTCTGATGCAATCAATGCCACCTAGATATCAGAAAACAAATGCCTAACAAGTGAGTCAGTTACATGGCCCATCACCCTATGTACTTACGTGGCCTTGCCTAGGTTACAAATAAGGCATCCTAAAGTAATTTAAAACAGAAAACAGGTCAGGGCTTAGTGGCTCATGCCTATAATCCCAACACTTCAGGAGGCCAAGGCAGGCAGATCACTTGTGGTGAGGAGTTTGACACCAGCCTGGCCAACATGGTGAAACCCCGTTTCTACTAAAAATACTAAAAAAACTTAGCTGGGTGTCATCGTGGCACATGCCCGTAATACCAGCTACTTTGGAGGCTGAGGAACAAGAATCACTTGAACTCAGGAGGCAGACATTGCAGTGAGCTGAGATTGCACCACTGTACTTCAGCTTGGGAGACAGAGCAAGACTTTGTCTCAAAATGATAATAACACATAGAAAACAGGAGTGGCAAAAGTCACAGACACAGCAGCAAGTAAGCAGTTATACAGCAGGACTCTTTCTGGGTTAAGAACGTTTTCTCCAGTTGTCATACAGCTTTATAAGTGAAGATTTCTTTTGAGCTTTCTTCATCAATTTTCAATCATGATTCTAAAATACATGTAAATGACTAAAGCTCTTTTTTTTTTTTTTTTTGAGACGGAGTTTCGCTCTTGTTACCCAGGCTGGAGTGCAATGGCGCGATCTCGGCTCACCGCAACCTCCGCCTCCTGGGTTCAGGCAATTCTCCTGCCTCAGCCTCCTGAGTAGCTGGGATTACAGGCACGCGCCACCATGCCCAGCTAATTTTTTGTAGTTTTAGTAGAGACGGGGTTTCACCATGTTGACCAGGATGGTCTTGATCTCTTGACCTCATGATCCACCCGTCTCAGCCTCCCAAAGTGCTGGGATTACAGGCTTGAGCCACCGCGCCCGGCTATGACTAAAGCTCTTAAAGGTAATAGTACTTGGCAGAGACAAATTTTTATAAACAGAAAGATAAAAACAGCTTAGGCCCACATGCACTCTTACTATTCATGGTGGCTCACTGTTGTAATCCCAGCACTTTGGGAGGCTGAGGGAAGAGGATCACTTGAGGCCTGAAGTTTGACACCACCTGAAGTTTGACTATTCATAACACACCTGAAGTTTGACTATTCATAACAATAGTTTTTTTGTGGTCAAAGGTCACAAGATAAAGGAATTTCAAGCTGGCTTCAACTTCTTTATGTTCTCTCTAGAACAACAATCTAGACAGCAGTGGTTAAGGCAACAAAGGGAGGGCAAGGTATTTATCCTAGAATACCTAGCTAAGGTTCATTCCCGAGAGCTTGTTCGAAATTTCCTTTCACGCAAATGACCCAGAAGTTCTGAGTTATTAACATTATTATTAAATTTATGTAGTAAGGCCTCTTTCATGCCTCAAGAATAATTCAATCATCTTTCAGATTAATAGTAATTGCTTTATACCTTGTTTGAAAGTTTGTCTAAGCAGTAAAGGCTCCAAAGATGGATCCAGTTCTTCACCAACATTTTCTAATAGAAGTGGATTTCCAAACTGAATACAGTTTTCCAATATTCTCATATAGTCTGAATCTGACAGCTTAATAACACTAAGCTGATTTTCTTTCTCAGAGTTTTTGATCCACTTATTGGCTTGACCCTGGGGGTCAATCATTAAAGGCCTAGAATATAATAAGAAAAATTCTGAGAGGAACACATAAACATTGAGATTTATTTTAAATTATATAATTTAAATAATAAACATCACCATCAATCTGTACAAATACGAAGTATTTCACATACATTATCAGGATTACTTTTTACAAAAGTCCTATGAGAAAAAAGTTAAAAGGAGTCTCTTTTTTTCGTATTTATTTTTCAAATGAAGAAATTCAGTCTCAGGAAGTACCCTGCCCAAGGTTCAACTAGTTCAGTGTTCGAAGTAGTAGAACCTTGTGAATCTGTGAGCTCTGTTCTTCCCAACATAATATACTGTCTTCATGGTAACTTGACATGTCAGCACATGACATCTGTTAACATAATATGAAAATAATACTATAAAATATTTGATAATAATTTAAAACAAGAGATCCACTAGCATAAGGGATTTCCTCAGATTATGGGTAGAATTACAAACTGTGTCCAAGTTTAGGGGTGGTGTATATTTGAGATCTATTTGGAAGCTTTTTCTGAGTTAGTAAAGACTTTGTGTTCAAAAATATATGATTCATGAATCAGATGTGTAAAATAGGATGTGCCTTCCTCTTCCTCATGGATGATCTGACTGTCCTAGGTTCCTCTTGTATTCAGTGCAGTACATTAAATTTTCTTTTGAAAATATAGCACAGAAAAGGAAGTTTTTGTCCCGTGTCACTTCAGCTTTCCCATTCTCTTTTATTCCAACAGCTTCTAGGGCTAAAATCCCCCTTCCCTATGAATAAACTCTTTAATTTATTCCCAGATAACTGTGTTCTTTTAGTTTTTTTCTTTCCCCAGAGACAAAACTAGCTGACTGGATGTTTTCTTTCCCGGCTCTAATTGTGCTCAAATCCTATTTAAAGTACAAAAAGGTCCAGACGGTATTTAAAATCTACTTTTCCTACCGCAGCAAAGAAAGCAAGGGCATTCTGCAAACAAGAAAGTTACTTTTTCATACAAGTTACCTAGTAATTAGACTAGTAGATGCTTTTAGTACCTTTCAAGCCCCTGTTTAAAGAGACATTATTTTCTTCCTTTCATGTCCTTATTATTGGAAAAATACAGTGTATGTTCATTCCCTTGTAAAATGTTAACAACACCTATAAATTAACATTCTAATGTTAATAAATGTTCTTGGTAATGCCTAAATGTTCTTGGTTATCCAATAATTAGAGATTCTTGTCTACTCCAAAACAAATTTGACTCCTATTTAATATAACCTTATGTGAATACTGGAAAATTAGATTGTTGTGTCCATCATAGAAATAAGGCCAGGCCATGGTATTTGCATTCTAAGTATGCCTTACTCTAGGCGTGAAAATAATACTAGCCTTGATTTGAGATTTTTGAGCAGTCTGAAGAAAGCAGCATTATCTATGCTTCGGACAGGGGTAGTAATTTTGAAGAAAATAAGCTTTGCTATTAAGTAGCCAAGGCAATGTATAAACACTAAAAAAGAACACACTACTTTGCATTTTATTATTTCCTTCCTACCTCCACAGAGGAGACACAGTAAGTATTTTCATCATGGTTAAAACAAAGCAAAACCAGAATTTAAGATGTAGATTAAAATGAGATATTCAAATATAATTATAAAAAACATTTATCGAGCACTTATATGCTAAGTGCTTTCTCACAACATTTCTATGAGCTAAGAGTTATTTTCGTTTACAGATGAGAAAACTGAGGTATTGAGAGGTCAAATACATTACCAAAATCTCAAGACAGAAAGTGAGGAAATTTTGAAGCCAAATACCCTGACTCCAGGGTCTGAACTGCTCTCAGCCACTGCACAATATTATAAACAGACAAACTGTTGGAAATTATAAAGAGCAAGCACAATGATTAATTATAAACTATGGTCCCAACAGCATGACTGGCTAAAAATCCTTCTTCCTCCTAGTACTGATGGATAAAATATGACATTATTTTAAACGCACAGGTTAATTGAAGCATGCATTTAAAAGACACATACGTATATTCACACATATCTAATACATACATACAGAAAAAACACAGGTGCCAAAACAGATAAAACTAAAATCCAGAACAGTAAGTGTGTGAGCTAAACTAACAGCTGGACTTGGGTAGAGTGTCAGTCTGATAACCTAGAGGCTCACTGGGTCCATATGCGGGAAGAACTGAGACCTTTGCATAAAGCTGAAACTCACAAAAACCCTAGTGAAGTCACCGACAGAAAAATTTCAACCCTATGCATAAAGAGATAAGAAGGAAATGTTTTGATTGCTATCTCATATCTGGCTAGAAAAAAGTATCCCCTGAAAATGTGAATGTGTAGCTGTGGGTCTATATCTCATACAGGTTTAGGGTATAAACTTATACTATCTACATGACTGAGGAAACTCCAGGCTGGAAAATTAACGTTTGTGGCCAGTAATACTCCCAAGAATCCTGGAAGAAGTAAAGGCAAAACACACATTGCAGCTGAAAGTACATTAGAAAGTTTACCCCTACTGCCACTCCAGTGGTTCCCTAACTGAAGTTGTCTTTTTTATTCTTGGAAAGTACAACATATATAAATATCACAGATCAGAAAATTTTTAATGAAATGTATTCTTTTAACATTTTAACATATATTCACAGTATTCATTTCTTACAAAATGTCTTGTTCTTTGATTTTAGGCTATTAATGGTAAATGACTTTTAAAATGTATTGGTATTTCTTAAGCATAGCATTTCATACTAAAAATCACCGAATTGTACAATTTAAAAGGGTAAATTTTATGGTACATAAATTGTTTATCAGCAAAGCTGTTCCAAATGATGGGAGGTGGGAACACTATGGATGCCTGCAGTTCCAGCTATATCAGGAGGCTGAGGCAGGGGGACTGTCTGAGCCCAGGAGGTGAAGGCTGTAGTGGGCCATGATTGCACTACTACCCTCCAGCCTAGGTGGCAAAGTGAGACCCCATCTCAAAACACACACACACACACACACACACACACACACACACACACACGTGCAAACACACCTGGACACATCAAACTGCTGAAAACTAAAGACAGAATAACTGGAAAATCTCCAGAGGAAAAAAAAGACACATTACATAAAGAAGAACTTTTAAAGTAAGACTTAGAGTAGACTTCTCATCAGACTATGTAGGTCAGAAGCAATTAAGTGACATCTCAAAAGACAAAAAAAAAAAAAAAAGCCCCAAAACAAAAGCAAAAAACAACTGTCAATCCAGAATTATAAACTCAGCAAAGAAAAAAAAAATCTTTCAAAATGAAGAAGAAATAAAGATTTTTTCAGGGTTAGTTAATACATACAGAAATATAGTTAAGTAGAAGGCATAATAAGATCTAGCATTTGATAGTACAGTAGGTAGCTGTAATGAAAAATAGTTTATTATATAATTAAAAACTGCTAGAAGAATTGGATTACAAGAAAATATAAATGTTTAAAGTGAATACCCCATTATCCTGATTTGATCACTGTACATGGAGTGACTATATTAAAATATCACACATATCCCTGAAATATGTACAACTATTACATATCAATTTAAAAACAAATTTTTTTTTCAGACCAGAAAAAGAAAAAAGCTGAGTAAATTTGCTGTTAGTAGACCTGTTCACATGAAGTGTTAAGGGACATTCTTCAGGCAAAAGAAATGTCAAACCAAACAGAAACATAAAGAAACAAAGAGGTCCCAAAATGGGAAAAAGATGAAAATAAAAGACTTTTTTCTTATATTTAATCACTCTAAAATATAAATTATCGTCTAAAATAAAAATAGAAACAATGTATTATAGATTTATGGCATATGAAGTGAAATATATAAAAGCACGAGAGAGAGGGTAGAATTGTACTTTTGAAAGATTCTTACACTATATAATAAAATTATTTGAAGATATTCAGTAATAAACTAGAGATGGATGATACTATGAACACTAGCACAAACACTGAAAATAGGGAGTGTTTAACCAATAAGCCAACAGTGGACATAAAATGGAATCAAAAAAAAATTCAATTAATCCAAATCCAACTAGGAAAAAAAAAAGGACAAAGAACAAAGGAGACAAATAGAAAAGAACAAGATGGTAGATTTAAATCTATATGTGTCAATAATTCCATTAAACGTAAATGATCAAATGACTGTGATTAAAAGTAGAAAGAAAAATGAAATCATTTTAAGATCAATTCACAAGTCTTCACTAACAGAAAGACTAAAGGGACAAAGCATTACAAATCATTGAGGAAATAATGGATAACTCAACAAATAGTGCTGGAGTAAATGGCCATCATTATACAAATAAATAAAATTATCTTTCATCATGTCCAAAAATGCAGAAAGAAGGAAGCAAACACCAGAGTCCTAACTGTTAAAAGTACACTGCATTACCAGGTCATGACCCTTTCTGAGAACTACATTCCTGGCCTTTAATGCTCATGTGTGTTACTCTGGCTTGGCCCTCCCAGCTATAAGTTACTAGACCTAAAGTGAATATTTGTTCCAAGCTAGACCAATCAGATGTTCTTCACAGGAATTAGAATTTGGGCTCAATGGTTAGAGTTAATCTATATTACTCAACTGATGTGGGGTTTTTTGCTTGTTTGTTTGTGACAGAGTCTCACTCTGTCCCCTAGCCTGGAGGACAGTGGTGCAATCTTGGCTCACTGCAACCTCCAACTCCCGGGTTCAAGTAATTCTCCTGCCTCAGCCTTGAGAGTACCTGGGACTACAGGCACTTGCCACCATGTCTGGCTAATTTTTTTGTATTTTTAGTAAAGACAGGGTTTCACCATATTGGACAGGCTGGTCTCAAACTCCTGACCCTGCGATCCACCCACCTCAGCCTCCCAAAGTGCTGGGATTACAGGCGTAGGCCACTGCACCTGGCCAATTGATGTGTTTTTTTGAACTCAGGAATCAAGGCTTCCCTAGCGAATGACCATGTGAACAGTTGAATAGAGCTAACATACCTTCAGAGATATACTAATGAAGCAGCTATACAGAGAATAACACAGAAGATAAGTTCTACTGAGATAGAGCGAGAATGTGCATGTGAGAAAGAAAATATGGATGAGAATTGCCATCAGTACTAATGGTTTCTTATTTTTACCTTCCAGAGGCCAGGTGGCCCATGTTTTCTCTGAGAGTCCCTTAATACAGTTTAAGTGAGTAACCAAATAATGAAATCATAGATTATTATCCTGGGCCCAACTGGCAAGAAGTGGAGTCTTGGTTATAAGGATGGAGACTCATCCTTCAAAATTTACCCAGGGCATGCCCTGTTGACCAGCTAGTCCAAAAATAATAGGTAGAAAGGGTAATTTCATTGGAATGTCACTTTATTAAAAGTCAGCTTTCTGACAGAAATAACAGGTTGTTTTCTTTAAATTATATACTACCCCAAAGCTTCTAGTTTCCCTGAATACCAATTAGGGCTTATAGGTAACACAACAGCATTTTCTTTCTTTTTGTTTTCTTTTCTTTTTTTTTTTTTTTTTTTTTTTTTTTTTTTTTTTTTTTTTTTTTTTTTTTTTTTGACCCCTTAATCTGG